ACAGCCCCGCGAGCACTGTACAGTGAGCCCAGCGGTAAAGGAATCCTGGATTCCAGGAACAGTGGCACCTTTACTCACCAGTCCTAACATCATCTCCATCTTTGCCCCACTGAGTTAAAAAATACTGTCTTTAATGATGTGTGTCCGATCCACAGGAGAGCTCTCGTTGGCTAGCCTGGGTGTCGGTGCTGGTATGCTATGCTAGAAACCAATCCACCAAGCCTCTTGGCTGCGTAGAATAATGGAGAAAGTACTGTAGGCTTGGAGGGAACCAAGCCCACTGTTGAAAGGGTTAAATGAAGTTGTGTCTGAGGAGGAGCCCAGTACCTAGCACAGGCTGGAGAGCAGGTTCCCTTATTCCCCCCAGGGGCGGGGCAGGAGCAAAGACAGAGCTGCGTGAGGGGGCCCCTAGCTATGGATCCACAGAGCAAAGACCTTAGTCTGCAAACTCGGGCCCAAAATGCGTAGCGCTTGCAGCCGCAAACACATTATACTGCCCCCAGTGCCATTCACCTTCCCTGCGCTGCTGTGCCTCCAGGCCTTCTAGAATAGAAACGTAGCAGCCAGCAATATGTCTAAAAATAGGAGAGAGCGAGCAGGGCAGCCTGTTCTTACGGTAGGAGAAAAGAATGTCAAAGGAAGCAGCTGGGACTACTGAACTCTGCATTAGCCACATTCCGTTCTTTCAGCTCAAGTCAAATGTTGATCCCCATTAGGCAATTGGCTTTGACAGGAGTTGTGCTGATCACCGCTTAGCAACCTTTAATTTCTGGGGAAAAGCAAAAGGGAAAAAAAACTAATGGGTTTTTCATTTTCCAGAGAGAAAGGGATAAAATAATAGCAGTCTGGGAAAAGAAAACCTTCCTTAATTACAAAAATGATTAATGTGCCTTTACTAACCAGATTGTTTAGCTCTTTTATTTCTTAGCCATCCACTCAATTTTTTCTTTTATTCTTTTGGGGGGGGGGGCTTCAGGGTTTTTCTCCATTCTATTTTATTTGTAGGGTTTTGCCTTAAAATATCTTGCTGTGTCTTTTTTTTCCTTTTTTTTTTTTTAAGATTTTATCCATTTATTTGTGTGTGAGAGAGAGAGAGAGCGAGCAAGCGTGAGTGTGGGGAGGAGCAGAGGGAGAAGCAGCTCCCCACTGATCAGGAAACCCAATGTGCGACTCGATCCCAGGACTCTGGGAACATGACCTGAGCTGAAGGCAGATGCTTAAGGGCCTGAGCCACCCAGGCGCCCACTTGCTGTGTCTTGCATTACTTGAAGTTTTTAAGGACTTTATAAGTGGTATTTCTCAACACCCAGCCACTGCCTGAGTCCTCTGACAGTGGGGTCCTCCGTCCCACTGGAAGGCTTCCAATGAGGGGGATAGATTCATTCCCAGGAAATGCACTGAATTTTTGGATTGCAGAACCTCAGAGTTCACTGTTTGCTCAAACTAAATCAGAACACACTTTGCAGGGTCGCCCAGCTGGCTCTGTCAGTATAGAACATGTTACTCTGGACCTCAGGGTTGTGAGTTCAAGCCCCATGCAGGTTGTAGGGATTACTCGAAAATAAAATCTTTTTTTAAAAAAGCACACTTTGTGGGGCGCCTGGGTGGCTCAGTGGGTTAAAGCCTCTGCCTTCGGCTCAGGTCATGATCCCAGGGTCCTGGGATCGGGCCCCGCATCGGGCTCTCTGCTCAGCGGGGAGCCTGCTTCCTTCTCTCTCTCTCTGCCTGCCTCTCTGCCTACTTGTGATCTGTCTGTCAAATAAATAAATAAAATCTTTAAAAAAAAAAAAAAAGAGCACACTTTGCAATTACAAGGAAATGAACCAACAGGTTAATCGACAGTGGATTTTCCTCAGTATTTCCCAACAGTTTTCTAAGAACTATCACCAAAATGTAGCTTTTCCTCCAGTTTATAATTATTTTAACAAGACAAGCACTTGTATTTTTGATCCCTTAACTAATTATAAGTGGAAAAGATAAATCAGTGTTACTTTTATTAGTGTTACAACAAGCTAGAAATAGCGGGGAGCCCAGCTGCCCATTGCCTCTTCCTTTCTCATCTAGAAAATGAAATTTTCCTTCTTTTTAAAACCTACCTGACTCTTCCTCTTCTGATTTGTTCAAAATGGAACCCAGGGGCTCCCGGCTGGCTCAGTTGGCAGAGCGTGCGACTCTTGACCTCAAGAGTTTGAGCCCCACACTGGCTGTAGAGGTTATTGAAATAAACTTTTTAAAAATGGAACCCATAGCTCTACTGAAGAAGCTGGTATTAGGATGTGGGTGATCCCTTCAGCAGGTGCTACTAAATCAAGTTTTTTAAGTGTCTCCCATGAACCTATTGGTCTGAGTTTCCTAAAGCCTAGAATGGTTTGCCATCAGTCCTGAAATGGGACTACTAGGAAGGATTTCTGTCGAGTGTTCATGTCACACTGAATTCTTTCTCAGCAGTTAAGGATCCATTCTGGTGCCAAATATTAGAAATAAATGCAAGAGGGGCGCCTGGGTGGCTCCATCGGTTGAATGTATGACTCTTGATTTCAGCCCATGATCTCATGACCTCAGGGTCATGGGATCGAGCCTCGCATTGGGCTCTGCACACAGCATGGAGTCTGCTTGAGATTCTCTCTCTCCCCCTCTGCCCTTAAGCCCTGCTCATCTGTGCTTCTCTCTCAAATAACAAGTTTTTAAAAAAGAAGTGCGCAAGAATGAATTACAAGCTGTCCAGGTGCCAACGACCACATCTACACACTTGTCTATGTGGAGCTACACAAAGGTATACTTGGAGAAAAGTCTACCCGAAACCTGACGGTAGAAAATTACCCTAATATACCTGTTTCACCCTAATGTATTCATCATGAGCATATTAATCTAGCCTACCATGCAGTTGCGGCCAGTTAACGTTTTATTAAGCCCCCGAACCAAATAAGGGAAGCTTAGACTTGACAGATGTCCTGCCGGTCTCATTAGCATAGCCTCATTATCCTTCAGATGTTACTTAGTTCAAAGTTAAAAGTCCCCAATCCTAAGGACTCTGTACGTATGACCCCAGTTGAAACTGAAAAACAATGAGCGTGCTATTTCTTCTAGAAAAATCTTAAAAGACCAAGTTCTGAAGGTTAGCTGGCCCTTCAGGCTGGCATCCTGCACCAGGGCACTGACCCAATTACCAGTCTCTTAAAGCTGCTGTGTTTGGAAGTGTGGGTGCTATTAAGGCTCCTCGAACACATTATACTTTACTCAGCTAGTAATTATGAACACGAGCTCAGCGCCGCAGAAAACAGAACGGAACGGTCAGCAGTCCTTCTCCGCGCCTGCTCCCCTGGTGTCCACAGAAAAGACGATGACGATGCTCCTCCAGCCAGCCTTTGCCAAGCTTCCTCGTAGTAGACCCTCAGAAACTTCCCGTAACTCCAAGGCACTCTCTGAACTTCAAAGTTTAGCATCTAAATACCATCACCCTGGAAATTTCCGTTAGAGTCTGTCATTCAAGAGCCATAAACGATACACGGAATCAAGCGAGGACGTTGGGGCTCTGGGGAGAATAAAGACCTGATTGGGGGTTTAGAAACTGACTGACTTGTTCACCCCTCATTTCACTGGACCAGCCCCAATCCTCATTTCACTGGACCAGCCCCAAATCCCAGTCCACGTGCGGCTTGACAGCTGCTCGGCCTCATATCATAGAAAAAGAAACCCCCCTCCTGTGTAGCCATCACTCATTGTCCCTTCTGTGGAGGGAAAATATCACAATTATACACATAACGATAGCAATACATATATGAATCTGGGGGCGCCTGGGGGGCTCAGTCGGTGAAGCGTCTGCCTTCGGCTCAGGTCATGATCCCGGGGTCCTGGGATCAAGCCCCGCATCGGGCTCCCTGCTCTGCGGGGAGCCTGCTTCTCCCTCTGCCTGCCGCTCCCCCTGCTTGTGTGCATGCTCTGTATTACATAAATAAATATATTTTAAAAAATACATGTACGTATCTGTCACGGAACAAAGCCTGGACCCTGTGGTCCTGATAGTCTGGAATTAGAAGTTGAGGCAATCAGACCAGACAGCAGCCCTGCTGTGGATTTGGTTTGAAATAAGGCCTTAGAACAAACAGACTTCATTCTTCGAGACGCAAATGTAGAAGCTCTGATCCATGAAAGAACTGTAACAAATTAAAATTAAGTTGCTAATGAAAACCAGTGTGGGTATTTTATCAGAGCAGGTTTGAATGGAACTCTTCTTATAAGTATGTGAACAGATCATGCTTGAGAGCATGACATTTGTTTTTAAATTGGTTTTCGCCAAAACACAAGAAGTAATCATTTTGCCCTTGGAGCACAATGTTAAAAATTTGCTTCTAATATGAGGGAAATATTTTTTAAAATTAGACAATTTCTATGAAAACAAACTGAGTAAGATGTCACTCTAGATTCCTAAATATGTCACCTTTAGCCGTTTTAAATCAAAGGAAGGGAGACAAGGGAAGACCTTCCAAGCACATAACGAAGGTGGAAAGAAAGCCCAGTGGGTCCCATACAGCAGAAAACATGAAAATCTTTATCAAAAATGTCCACTTTGGGGAGCGCCCTCTTGGCTCAGTCAGTGGAGCACAGGACTCTCGATCTTGGGGTTCTGAGTTGAAGCCTCACGTTGGGCGTGGCATTACTAAAAATAAAATACTTATTTTTAAGATTTTTATTTTATTTTTTTGACAGAGATCACAAGCAGGCAGAGAGGCAGGCAGAGGGTGGGGGAAAGCAGACTCCCCGCCAAGCAGGGAGCCCAATGCGGGGCTTGATCCCAGGACCCTGGGATCATGACCTGAGCCGAAGGCAGAGGCTTTAACCCACTGAGCCACCCAGGTGCCCCTAAAAATAAAATATTTTAAGATATAAATAAATAAAACTTTTCATATTACACGGGAAGTAGAAGAAAGATCACAGCTGTTAATACATTTTATTCAGATGGTTCGTTACACTCCTTTGCATGAGCGATCGGGGGTGGAGTTTTATTTGCAGGAGGAGAAGGTCTTCCAGAAGAAATCCTTGCAGGGTGTCTTCTCCCGCAGTGACCGCTGAGGGGGCGGGACATCCTGTCGCTTGGCCGCCTCCCCGGCTCCCCCTCCTGTGAAGGAAGCTGCACCCGCCTGGGACACCCACTGGTACCACCCAGCCAGGAAAGTCAAGAGGCTGTTTTTCTTCATTTCCATCCCTTCCTGCAGATGCTTTTAAAAAGAAGCAGAGAACAAAGGAAAGAAAAATAATCAACCATCTGGTTCAGCCAGCATTAAAAGATCCATAATTCCTTCCTTAAAAAAAAAAAAAAAAAAAAAAAAGGATGTTTCAGAAGAATAAATCACATTTCCATTTAAAGGATGAGAAAGTTAAAAAATAAAATAAAGGATGAAGAACTTAAGAGAATACTTTAATGAAATAGTTCTAATTAGAGAAGGAAAAGTTAAGAATTTTCAAAGAAAACAAATGGCTTGTTTGGCCCATAATCTTGGCTGAGGTCCTTCATTAGAAGAGGTCAGGAAATCTATCATTTTCCCCGCCGCCAAGTGCCCGGTCTGACTCCTGGATGTCCACAAATTACTCTTCGAGACAGATCAGATTGAGACGTGATATTCCCCTCTTTCAAATTCCTTAGAAAGCTTCTAGGAGTAACCTGATGATAAATGACTTGTCTGAAACTCATCTGGTAATTTTAGAGAAAAATCCATTTTTAATGGCCAACTTTATGTACTCTTTCTTGGAACTTTTTCAAAATGGGGGGAAAAAAGAGAGAAATATAAATCACCTTACAAAGTTACGAATTCTCACAACAGAAACTATAATGATGTCAATGAATCTGCACCAGTGAGGAGAGTCCCATACCTATAAATTAAGATTCTAGAAGCATGTGTGAATAATGCGGGCCGTTTCAAAGATGACGCGTTGGAGATGGCCGGGCAGGGAGGCTCCCCCTTGAGTGTCCGAGCTCTCTGCAGGTTGCTGGGACCGCGGAAGGTAAACGAGAACCCGTGGTCTAAGAGGGGACATCCCGGGCCCCGGGGACAGCTGAAGGGCACACCGCAAGGGTCAGCCCTGCCTGCTGACTGTCCTACACACACTCGGCCCTGGAGACGGGGGCGATCCGAGGAGGCCAAGGAACCAGCCGCCCAGAAAGCGGGCTCGCCTGCCCGTCGCGCTACTCACCTGGTCGTCGTGTCCCTCGAGGCCACCTTCCAGGGGCAGGGCCGCCGGAGCTGTGGCCCCCGACGACAGCAGCAGCAGCAGCAGCAGCAAGCAAAGAGGTGGCGGCATTCTGAGGGCCGAAGCTCTGGGGCTGCTCGTCTTGGGCAGCCCCGAAGTCGGTGTTTTGTGCACTTGGGTCTCGTGGAGGGGTGGGGTGCGGGGGGCATTTTAATTAAGCTCCACCTGCGGCCGTGTTTCGGGTCTCGGTGCCTGTCAAAAGCCTGTGCCCCCGCTTCCCTCACACTCAGGCAGTGACGCACCTGCCGAAGCCATCAGCCCACAAAAGCGCTTTGGAACAGAGTTAACCCCTTCATTAAAGCCGCGGGTGTTGGGAGCGGAGCTGCTGACTGGGCAGGACACGTGCGCTGCCCCCGCGGCCCCGCTTCCTGGCGACCACGCGCCGCGCCGGGAGGCGGGAGCACAAAGCCGAGTGATTTCACACAATAGAAACTCAGCGGCGGCCGAGGAGCCGAGGAGCCGAAATTCCGCCCACGTGAGGTGTGACGGGATCCGCCGCGGGCCGAAGAGACGAGGGGGGCCTGGGGGGTGCAGGGAGGCGCTCGGAGCAGCCGGCGGTGCTCCCCGAACCGCAGGCAGGGAGGCTGCAAACCCAGACGAGAGGGAAGCCGGTTCCGGAGCGCGGGGGCCGCCCCGGCGGGACCTGCGACTTCCGACTCGATGACCCGCGCTTGACCAGCTCTTCCGGGAAGGCCGGAGCGTGGAGCCCCCCTGTGCGCCGCCCGCCGGGGCTTCCCCTTCCCCGGCCCCGGTTTCAGAATTCCACAGGCAAATGCGCAGACCGGCTTCATCCAACTGAGACAGCTGGTAAACTGAGTCACTGGCCACAGACCTGCCACACGGGCCAGCAGCCACGGCCAGGTTCCAAGTGGAAGAGGGAGGCCACCGAGGGGTCGGCTCTCTCCAAAAGTGAAGACGGACGGACCCTCTCCGTTTTCCAAAGTCCTGGTTCACGCCCCCGTCCCCCCCCCCACCCCCCCGCGAAATCTCCATCCTCACCCCAGCTCTGCGGAGGCTTGTGGCGACTCTAGGCCAAACGGGCGTGGCCCAAGGAGTCATGGGTCATCACCGCAGGCTGCTTGGTCCTTTCTTTCTATACGAAAATAATGGTTTTTTGCCTAAGAAAATTCCCACAAATGGTATTAAAAATTGAGGTGTTTTTTTTTTTTTAATTCAATAGACTCCATGCCCAGCATGGGGCTTGAACTCATGACCCTGAGATCAAGGATCCCCTCCCTTACTGACTAAGGCTGCCGGGTGCCCCCCAGATGGAGAGATTTTACAGATGAGAAATTCACAGCAGCTCGGCCGGCTTCCTCTTGCCGAGTTTACTGGACGGACTTCTTGGACGCTCCGAGCACCTAGCACGCATCCACAGAACCGCGCAGGACCCACGCCGCCCACGCCAGCAGGGCCGGGAGAGCCCAGCCAGGGGGTAGCCCCCACAGCCCACGAGCGGAAGCACGGCTCCAGCGCGATGGGAGTGTGCCGGGGAGGGTGGGTGCCGCGGGTGGAGGAAGGCCACTGCCCTCGTTACGGGCTGCCTTTAAGCCAGCGGCCGCCGGTGTTGGTCCTTCGAGGAGAGGGCTGGAGGCTTGGCTCCTGGCCTCTCTGTGGCCTGTTGCCTTATCTGTAAAATGGGGCTACAAAAAGACAGTACCTACTTACCCCCTCAGAGAGCTGTTGCGAGGACCAGCAAAGGTCCCGCCCGTGAAGCACCCAGCCCACGCGGAGCCCACGAGAGGCACGGACATCGGGCAGCGCTAAGAAGAAGACATCCTCCGTCCTTCTCCATGTGGGAGTCCCCGCCCCCCCCAAGAGCCGAGCAACCCAAGCGCTCCCACTTATTCCACCAGCACATCTTACACGCCGGGGTCCGGGTATCCCGGGTGCCTGCCGCGAGCCCCACACCGCACAAGGCACCCGCCCTCACCTCTCCAGCCCAGAGCCTGCCCTCCGGAAGCTGATAACCTAAGGTTTTCGGCAAGAACGTGTTCCTGGAAAGATGTCACATGGGAACTTCTGATTAGAAGGAGCTCAGTCCTGAAGTATTTTAAACAAGAGTGCTCCTTCTAAAGGTCCAAATGGAACCGAGAAAGTTTGAGGGTGGGACTTTTCTCTAAGTACAGAAGAAACCTAAGAGCGAGCGCCCCATCACCGGAAGGGCTCTTGTCCCTGGAGAATGTTGCGGGAGTTCCCAGGTGGCGGGGAACCTGGACTAAAGGACCCCGAGGGGCTCTTTAGAAATTCCACAGTTCAGTAAAGGAAGAAGCATGTCCCAGTGGAGGCTTTCTGGGCCTTACAGGTTTTATTATTTTTTATTTAAAGATTTTATTTATTTATTTGACAGAGATCACAAGTAGGCAGAGAGAGAGGAGGAAGCAGGCTCCTCGCTGAGCAGAGATCCTGATGCGGGGCCCGATCCCAGGACTCTGGGATCATGATCTGAGCCGAAGGCACGGGCTTAAACCACTGAGCCACCCAGGCGCCCCTGGGCCTTACAGGTTTTAAAGCCTCGGCTGTGCTCGAGCCCGCGCAGACCTCTCCCGGCGCGTTCCAGCTGCCGCTGTGTGCAGAAAGGGAGGCTTTCAAAGTTCCCTGACTCCGCTGAATTTCAGTAATAACACGCCACCAGCGGCCCTTTATTTCAAGTGCTTCAAGAAACTGGTCTAACAAGAAGACAGCAAGTATTATAAATGGAAGTTGCCCCCTTCCATGTGACCAGGACACATTCCTTCCAAAGACACCCACTTCCTTATCTGGTTCATCGCCTGATAAAAGGTTAATAGGTTCAAGTTTAGGGGCGCTTCTAGGACTCTGAGGAAGCCAGCCCGCGGAGGCAGGGCCCTCCACAAGTCCCTTCTGCCATCTGTCCCCAAAGATGGAATCACACAGAATGATCACTGTGGACATTCCAGAGTGAGCGAAACCCCACGTGGAGCATATGTGGAGGGGGAGGGCGCTCCAGAGAACCCAGGAAAGGGAGTCGGCTCTTCCTCGCAGAGTCTGACCCCTCCTGTGCTACAAGCCATGAAAAACGTGTTGTAAGCCTTCTCATCTGAAGTATAAACAGGACATGTGGGTGACTCAGTGGGTGAAGCATCTCCCTTCAGCTCAGGTCATGATCTCAGGTGTGCTGGGATCGAGCCCCGCATCGGGCTCCCAGCTCCTCGGAGAGTTTGCCTCTCCCTCTCCTCCCCTCCCCATACGTGCTCTCTCTCTCACTCTCTCTCTCAAATAAACGAAATCTTCAAAAACATAATCATACATAAATGTGCAAATACACCAAAAGATTACATGAACATCAAGTCGAGTTTCAGACTTGGCTAGAAAACTTCATTGCCAGGGCCAGGGTCTCCCCCATCCCCTCCCCCCTGCCCTGCAAGTAGACGCAGGACCCCCACGGCACCCCCACGGCACCCAGAGTTCTTCACTTCCAGTCCCGTGGATGCGGAGTTCAGAGAGCTATGGAAGCCATAAAAACGAGACGCCCAACAGCGGTCCTCCTCATTCTGTCACGCACGCCCTACCTCGCTGATGAGAAGACAGAGCTACAGGGAGTCACACCGCCACTGGAGTCGTGAGACCCGGAGGTCCATCCCCATCTGTGGCCCTGCGGCAAGTCTGCCGCGTCCGGCCGCCCACGTCGCCTGATGCGGACATACAGAGCCAACCCGGAAAGGAAGCTGCGCGATACGGATCTCGGGAGCAGGACGCTCAGGACAGAAGCTTTAGGATTCCCTTCTCTCACCTGGTGTGACACTTGACACAGTGTGACTGTGAAGCTTGTGTTCGGGGCCCTCCTGCGCCCACAGCTTATGTGTCCCCTCGAGAGCCAACTGTTGTGGGATGTCTTTCGCTGATCCGTATCTGTCCTATCCAGAACACCTGTTCTGTTCTCTCGCCCCCTCTTTGGGCGTGAGCACCCCCCAGGGTGAATACTGTCTCAATCAGTCAGCAGACCTGGGCAGTGCCCCAACCTCTTCAAGCCTCAGTCTGCACATCAGTGAAGTGGGGAGAATCAGATCCATCCCGTAAGGCCGTGAGGGGGCACGGAGGTGCTATGCGGAGCCCCGGGGAAGCCTGGCCCAGAGAGGGCTCCCGAATGCAGTCCCGTTCCTTGTCCCTCCTGCCCCAGCAGGCACGGGCATGCCCTGGGCGCCCCCGACACCCCACAGAGGAGACAGCCCGACTGGAAGCTCCGGCCCTCAAAGACCGAACCAGAGCCCCCCACACGGAAGCGTTGGCGAATGGAGGTTTTCCTCTCAAGCAAAGTCTTCGCCCCATAGAACCACAGTTAAACTACAAGATGGCCAGAGAAAAGTGGCATAAGCTGTGTTTCTGGAGAAAATCACCTTTGAAAACGGACATTTTCCAAACGTGCACCTGTGAGCGTCCCATTTACCTCCTGGTCACACGTGATGCAGGCTTAAAAGCCACACCGGCGAGCGACGGAACTAACAAAGCAGCTTTAAGGAGAAGTTTGAATAAAGAATAAAGAAGATGTTTGCTTGAAAAAGTCAAGCACATGGCACTGCGGCCACCACTTGATGATCGACGCCAGTGACCACTTGGACCCCTGTGCTGGTGCCGGGGGGACACACGGAGCCTTCCGCTCGAGCATCTCCTGCTCGGACGCTAGCTTTTGCAGCCAATGACTCAGAGAATGCAGCCCAGCAAGCCTCTTAGCCTTTTATTTTAATCTCTACTGATCCCTTCAAAAATCCCTTTGCAGCAGCGCTGCTCCCTGTGGCACCCCCTGCCGGAGGCCGCGTCTGCGGGTGGCCACAGGGTCAAGAACCGTCCTTGTCGGCAGCCGCAGCCACTGACTTTGTGTTGTCGTCCTCTAGCTTCTTCTTCTTCTTTGCTTTTTGTTCTGTGTTAAACTGAGTGAGCTCTTCGTTTTTCTCTGTGATGTATTTCAGCTACAAAAAAAAAAAAAAAAAAATTAAAGAATTACATTTTGGCTGGTTGTGAAGCCACTCTATAAGCCTAGGAAGGGGAAGGGAGTCTACACCCCTCCTAACCGCCCCCACCCAAAGAATTTGGGT